AAGTAGCTACATGCCCATTAGCCCACAGCGTCATTAACAGGCGGCTCGCTCAGTGTGTGACGTGCACTTCTAGATAAAATATAGGCCTATATTAATGATGGTTCATTAGTACGGTTTTATATTTCTCTGTAATCTTAAGTGCTATATTGTAGGCAACTGGACTTGCTTGCGTTTCTTGAAGACGTTTCGCCTCTCATACAAGAAGCTTCTTCAGTTCTAAATGACTGGTACCAAGTTGCAGGCGATAAACCGTGTGTGGGTGGGACACCTGAAACTAAGAGCTCATGTGACCCCTACAACTCTGCAAGCGTTCCCACCCACACAGGGTTTATCGCCTGCAACTTCGTACCAGTCATTTAGAACTGAAGAAGCTTTTTGTATGAGAGGCGAAACGTCTTCAAGAAACGCAAGCAAGTCCAGTTGCCTACGATACAGCACTTTCGATTACCATGACCTGGGTGACTGAGAATCTTCACCTACATTTCTCTGTAATGTAGCACAGTGTTAACAATGTTACTGATACTGTTCTTTATCACACCTTCAACTCAAACCACCAAAATATATTATTTAATGATTTAATTAATATTGTAAACATGCAGGCAACTAGTTGACTAATAGCCCTAAATGATGACTGTTGGTTGACTAGGGAAATTCTAAGTGGGGGCAGCACTGTTAAATTGCGACTAGGCTTTTAATTGAAGTTTTACAGTATGCAAACATGCAAAATCATTTTCAAAAACCAAGTTCATGATATTAGTGGTAGAAAAAGATTGGAACGTGATTACAGTGATAGGAATTGTGCAGATTTGCAGGAAAGCCCAATCAGTCTTTTTTCAGCATTGGCAGTATAAAAACAAAATTGGGGAGTGCAGCGAAATGACGCCTACCAAAATGTGCCTTTTTCGGGGCAATGGGGGGCGTGAGCAAGTAACAGAACGTGTAGCTCAGCGTGTGACGTAAACAGTGACGTGGGAGGGAAGCCGCGGCTGGTCAGTCCTCCGACGATTCTCTCATAAGTCAGCCCGTTCTTCACCGTCCCCGTCATCTGACGGTTAATGGCCTCTTCATTTGCTAGAACAAGGAGGGCGCGCAATTCCTTGTCTCCCCAGTTGCTCATCTTTACAGTGTCTGTCAGGTTTGCGTTTCCCTCTTGCTACTAGCTGCTCGCTAATTCCTGCTATCAGCTGTTTCCTGTTTATCCACCTCCAGTGGGTCGCACGTGCGGCGTCATCAACAGCTCCTTCCACAAGTCATCAACAGCCCCTCCTGTTGCGGAAGGTCGCCTCGTTCTTTTTAAACTAAAATGGTTCCGCTAATATGTCTACCCTATGAGGCGGAAAATTGGGCACCTCGGATCAACTCGCCAATCCAGCTCTGTGTGTCTAAACGCTCGCAGCTTGCCGGCGAAACGGCCCAACATTCGCGTAAAATCTGGCAGTGTAAAAGGGGCTTATGTCAGCCTCGGCAGCCTCACCACTTACTTTTCTAAACCCAGTGTTCTCTCTTTTTAAATCAAACCAGCCTATGGATACTTTGAATTGTCCTCTTCCAGGCTCACTGCCAGTTCTTCTGCCTTTTCTCCCCACTCTCTTGAGTGCGCATTAGCTGACCTGACTGGGCATTATCAGTCCACTTGTTGAGGGTGGCTTCATCCACAAGTGTTTAACCTGTGCAAGTAAAGTAAAACAAATAGAATTCATGTAGTTTAAAACACATTTCCACATATTGTCATGATGACCCAAAATGGACACTGTAAGCAGAGCACTTGATTACTAAAAGCAAATTATTTGAACAGCACTTCTGTCCCGAGCACTTTGATCCATATAACAACTGTTGCCCTGATCACTATAAGCTGTCTCCACTGTGTTTGTGTTCCATCATTTAATCCACAATGTGTAAATTCTTGGAGCTAATCCCAACATCACTCACTGAGAATCGTGATGAAACACTGCACGGCGGCACATGCACAAACTCAAACAGAAGCTTTCTGGCAGCCGGATGCTGCCATCAGCCCTCATATGGAGGAGTTTGCGAGCGAAAATGAAAATAAGCAGTGGATGTCAATGTACATTGTGTATCAGTGCCTCTGTAATGTACAGTGGCCTCGGGGTGTGATTTAGAAATGAAAGAGCGTTTTGTGATTAACTCTCGGAACATGTGCACACGCACACACACACACTGATCCCATTGTACCAGTCGGGTCTAGCTGGCCTCTGCCTGGGCCAAAGCCTGTTAACTCCAATTCAGAGCGTAGAGGCTGGTAATGAGCACTGTCAGAGTTGACATAACAACCTCCCGCTCTGGGGCTGAACAGTAGAGTCAGACTCGGAGAGGGAGAGGGAGAACACACTCGGTCTGTGCTGGTTTTATCCTGGTTGACTATCGTTGAAGTTCACCCACTCAGACTGGTGTTTTGGCCATTTTGAAGTGTTGCAGTTTGCAGCCGGAGCTCTCGACTTCTAGATCTAAATGTCCTTTACTCTGATACGTGATCACAGGAGAGGTAAATCATGTTAACTCACACATACAGTGGCTGCTTTTGCATTTAATCCCCCTCATACCTGGAATGAATTGTTCTGCACTTTGAAGCTTAGTACTTACGCATTGTTGGAGTTTGGTGTCTGACTGAACGGGGTTGACAATAAAACCGCTGCCCTCTGTGATCCTCAATATTTAAATAGAAGTTGTGTGCATGTGCGTAACTTTAGAATCATTTTAATTATTGTACACCCTTATTCACCTTGAGTAAACGTTTTCTTTGTGGAGCCATGAATAATAGAGGTGGATAAATGAACACAGTTACAGTCAGGGAGCATGGACGTTATACAAATGTTAGGTACCCTGTGTCCTCAAGGTTAATATCCAGAACAGTTGTTTTCTTCACGATAAGCATTTTCCTATGCGTCCCCATCCCGGCTCATTAGAATCAGCTTGTTTAGAGAGGATGACTTGCTGTGTTGTCTGATTTGAGTTCAGGCAGCACAAAAAACACTGCTCCCGCATTCCAGCATGGCGTGTCCTGGACTCCCGTTTCTCAATAATTTATCCAGACAACTAGAATGATTATTCTATGAATATGCACTAAAAATTCCTCTCTTGTGCTCTTTCTCTCGAAGTTTGTGCATGTCGGTGTGTGTGCATGTGAGCGAATGTGTAGCTGTGTGTACGCGGCGCTTTTCTGCCTGAAACAAAGGAGGTGTCAGGGCGAATTAGGCCCCCTACGACTGAACGCCCAGAGAGCTTAGAGATGCACCACAGGTTCTGCTGAGTCGCACATGAGCCGCGGTGTCTGCCTCTTCCCCTCCGCTTCCCCCGCTTTGCCCCCCGCGCTCGCCCCCTCTCCACTCCTGAGTTGCTCTAACAAGGTTGTTGGAAGAGGATAAGGCGTGTTAAATGAATAATTTACACAGAAGAGCGCTCCTTATTTATTTAATACGGCTGGATCTGACTGAGTGGGCAGCCTGCGTCCCCAACTGCCAAGACACTGGCTAAACGAGCGCTTGCTCGGCTTAATGGAGGGCCAAAGCGACAGGCATTTAGAGACAGCGAAGGGGTGCATGAGAGAGTTTGTAGATTGTGTGTGTGTGTGTGTGTGTGTGTGTGCGCTTGTGAAACAGGCCATGCGGAGCCGTGCTAGTGTGCAAATCTTGTCGCCGCTGTATGTACTTTGTCGCTGCACCATGTTGCTCTTTATACCTTGATGCAGACAGATCACATGAGAGACCCTTCACCTATTTCAGCAGGCTTCCAGGAATTTATGGTACCGCTCCATCCTGTGTGTGGATGAAAACTACTGAAGACACACCACCTTTTTGATGCTGGTTTATGGAGACCTGAATTTGTCAACATTAAATAGACATTACATCATATTTAAATTATTAATGACAATCATGTAATCGAAAAACCAATAAATGACTAAATAATTTAAGAAATTGTTCAAACTTTTTTTATGAAACTGAATTAGTATATGTCATTTCATCGTTTTCATCACAAAGTCTCCCGTTCCTTTTTATTTTAAAGCACCTTTATAAAACAATCTAACCCATATGTTTTGGTCATGTCTGAGTCCGAGGGAGTACTACAAGTCTTATTTCAGCAATATTATAAGAAGTAATACAGCCTTCCCCACAGATTTCTATATGTGCTGCACCTGAAGCTGGCAGAAATGTGTCCAAAAATCTAGCAAACACAGTCTCGTTCACCTCTTCAACAGCCCGTCGGAGAATAACTTTACTTTGGAAGAAACCCCCGTCTCCATCTCCTGTTTCATGGCTGCGTGATATGATGTTTCATGGAGTTGGAAAAGATCAAATTCTCCTTAAGGGGTTCGGCAGACAAATTTTGTAGCGACTAGCAGCCCATGATCGATTATGTAAAGAGCCTGACCTCTGTTTCCTCAGATTGAACACCTGGGTGAGATGATTGTTGAATTTAACAGTGACAGTGTATCCCCTTTTTTAATAATTTATTTTAATTTTTAATTTTAATTTTATATGTACATATTTATTTTATTTTATTTTATTTTTTTATTTGATATTATTTTACTTTAATTTATTATATTTATTAATGTTCATTTATTTTTTTAAGTTTCGTGACATGTCAGAATAATGCTAGTTTTTGTGATAATATTTTAAGTTGGGGTTTTTTATTAATTATGTCCTTTTTAACTATTTAACCCTCTTTCTAATTTGCATAGCCGATGTGTCATAGAATTTGCCTTGTGACTGTAGTGGTTTTAGATAGAGGATAGAAAGCCTTTATTACCATTGTACAAAGAGTATACAACAAGATTAGGAGTGCTACGCCTGATCAGGTGCCAACACGTCATTAAAACAAGCAAGTAAAAAACATTCATAAAATTGGACATAAACAGTGTAAAAAATAGGCTGTGTCAAGCTGTTGCACATGTGAAATAAACAGTGGATTGCACTTAATAAATAGAGTTTTTTTCTTTATGTTTTACAATTAATTTTAATGGTGACTTTTTGATGTCTTCACAGGGGGAGTGTGGAGAGGGGGGGACAGGACCACGACCCGGGCACCACCCTGAAAGAGGAGGAGCAAGGGGAGCAGCTGAGGAGGACAGATCATTCAATCGGTAATACTTTATGGTTGTTTTAAAACACACTTTATGGTATCAGTGTTTTCTGTCATTACGTTGGCACACTGTGCAGTGTGTGAGACGGTGGGAGTCAGAGCGGAGGAATCTGTTTGTTCTGAAACAAACGCTAGATGAGTGTCCCGTTCAGTAATTAAGCATCAGTGCTCGTGTGTAACAGTAGCAGGAGAAACACACATAGCTCCGACCAATCAGGTTACGACCAAAATCCTTAAATCCTCTCTAACATTTGGGTGTCCTCCCCTTCCTCCTCCTCTTATTCCTGTTCTTCCTGTGGACAGAGGCAGCCCCTCTCAGAAGGAGCGATACATCCACACAGTTCCCCTGTGTGTGTGTGTGTGTGTGTGTGTGTGTGCGTATGCGTGTGTGCCTCCCCCAGGAGAATGAAATCCCACAGCTCACACTGACCTCATTATAAAAATAGCTCATCTATCCAGCCATCACATTTCCCTCCATTTCCCCTCTCCTCCGCAATCTCTTAGATATATATCGTGATCCTCTCTACCTTCCACTCTCCCCTCTCTGTCTCTCCATCAGTGTTTTTGCCGGACTTAACGTGAGATTAAAAGCTTATGCAAGTCCTTGTAACGGCAAGGTTCCCCTCCGCACCTGTCATTTCCAATCCGGCCCTAATCTGGGATCATAAGATGTCTTTTAATCATGAAACGTCTCACAGTAACATTAAAGTCCAGGTTTACACGATCTGTTAACGTTGTACCTCGGCCCACCGTGTCTCCCTCAGCGTCCTCTCCTGTCTTGTGCGTGGTCCACTGCGTCTCTCCACCTCCCCTGCCCGTGGAGCGAGATCCCCCCCACCCACCCCCATTAGAGTGAACAGCGCTCACGTCTGGTTAATTTAACAGCAGCATCAGTGATCATTACGGTCCAAGGCTGGCTTTGATCCTGCCAGACAGCGTTTCCTACGGTTTTAATAACCCAACAAAGACACCTTAGCAGATGCTCAATTTATGGACTCTAGACAAAGACAGAGACGGCCCGACATGAAGGATTCACCAAATTTTAAGGAATGAGAATTGCTTTGAAAAGATTTTCTTCGGCAGACTTTGTTTAGGCAGAACAAGGTGATTGAGCTTTCATGCTGTTTTTCAGTAAAGCCCTGTTTTACATTCACAGTTCAACACACAGTCACTCCTGGGAGCTGTTTATACGAGCGCAGCACTGTTGGCCACTGAGCCACTCCACTGGAGCAGCTCGGTACTGAAGATCTGCAGAAATGATAATTAGAATACAAATGATTATGAATAACAGTAAGTGCTCCTCAGTTTTACAGAGTTTAAAGTGTGCAGCCACAGTGATCCGGAGGTGTGGAATGTAACATCGGTTCATTAATTCAGGGGCAACGTCGTTTATTCTTCACGTTTTTTTGTAATGCAAAGAACAGAATTAGTGGGTATCCTGTCTGTATTATAAACTGCTGCACAGTGTTGTCGCATCGAAACAGCCTCCAAATTCACATGTCTGTTAAACTGGACTTGAAAAGTATTTCATCTCTCAGCTGCACCTGAACACACCCCTAACTACGCAGTCCCCTGTGTTGTTTGACCGCAGGGTCTGAAAGCCAACCACGTCTTTTAGAGCAAGTTGAAGTCAAGTTTCAAATCATTTGAGACAAGTCCAAGTCAAGTCTGAGCAAAGGAAGTGTCAAGGAAGTATCTGATCAAAGAGCCAAGTCAGTGGCAGGTCTTACATGTCATTTTAATGGTCAGAGAGACCTGAATTGACTGAATTGTCAACTCGTTACACTCCGTTTCCACCTTCACTCTGACATTGCGTTCACTCTCACTGATTTCCTTGGGAGAATGAGATTCAGTCTTTCCTAGCTAATCACAAGAGAACAGTGTCATATTAGCCGTGCTAATATACGTGGCCTAAGAGTGGAGGAGAGCGAAGTTAAACTACAATGTCTGAGAACAGTCTTGACAGCAGCATCCATCTTGCCATTGTTGTTATTACTCCTCACCGGATCAGGGCATTGCTTGACAGTGTTTGACAACAGTGTTGGTCCCACCTGTGGCGCTGATTGGCTAATCAAGTCCCCTGCAGCTCTCATTGGTTGTTTTGTTTTAGTTTTAATTTTAACCGAGAAACCGCTGTTTCTTCGCTGTTTTACATCGTTGCTTTATGCCCAGATCACACAGAGAGCATTCTGCAGGTTGCATAACGCAAGGCGCACCGCACTGCCTTTTGTTTTTTAAATTGAATGCAACTGGTGGTTTAAAAAAAAAAAAAAAAACTCTTGCTGCTCCTTTTTATTGTTGCCAGGCAACCTCCCCATCACCATCTTACCCTAACATTCCCGAGTAATCAAGCTACCGTTTGTTTACCTCACAGTGATTTGTATCTAGTCCTGACATGTTGAGGCAGAGGGTACTGTCTGTAGCTCTGGTTGAGGGTGAGAGGCTGTCAGCAGATAAACAGAGATCTGTGTGGGTACATGAGACCCTAAAAAAGAGGCTGGATCATGGGGAGTACCACCACTTGGTCCAGGAGCTTCTCCTCCATGATGGACGTTTCCAGGCAGATTTTAGGATGACTCAGGGGCAGTTTGACAACCTGCTGTCCATCGTAGGGACACATAGCTAGGGGTATCCAGCAACCATTACCACCAGTTTCTCCTTCATTGTTTACCAACTGTAAACTTGTTGTCATGACCACCACAGAAGGCCCGCCTCTCAAATCATCCGATTGGACAATGAGAAAAAAGCGCTTCTCCGCTCTGAGTTGAAGTTTTTTCAGCTTGAGTTCAGAGTACTCTGGCAAAAACGGCAGACGCCTAGAGTGCAGAAACGCAAGGCGCATCGCAACGCAAAAAACGCGAGTAAAAAGCTTCATTCTCATTTAAAACAATTACCAAAAGCCACCTCCAGCTGCTAAAACACTCTCTGTGTGATCAGGGCCTTAAGGTTCAAGTGATTTCAAAGTCAGCCTGCTGCATGTCTGATGAAATTCTATTTTTGCTTCGACAGTGTAGAGTTACCACCCAGTGTACGTGCACTTGTTTGTGTTCCCCTCTCCTTTGTAACATTACCTTCTCACCTGCACATCCAGCAGCTTATTCCCCCCAGAAAGGCCATCTTATGTTAAATAAGAACAAGCTGCCTCACATTGACCTGCTTTCAGAAGCCCAGGCTCACCTCAACAGGAGAAGAACTGTTGGGATCATCTGCATATTCTTTTGATCTCGCACCGGGTCTCTAGGAGCAGCCGTCATTAAGGAAGTTTGTACGACGTTCCCTCTTCCTCTCATCGTGGCTGAAGCTCCACTGTGTGCCCCCTTCTCTGCTTGTGCCCTTCACTCCATTCAAAGTCCTCTACCCTGCTACCGCCCTTCGCTTCAAAGCCGCCCTAAGTTGGGTTGAAAGCCAAAACCACTCTTGTCTGTCCTTCACCGCTAAGCTGATGTGTTTGTGTCTGTGTTGTGTTGCCCTTGGGGTGGGTTACCTCCACCCCCGCCCCCTCCATCTCATCTCTTCTCCTCCCCACCTTGCTGTTTATCTGTCTCTGGGCTCGTCACGTCCCTGAACCTGCTCTAATTAGCATCCCACACAACACTGTTTATTTACTCAGGTACCGACAGAAGGGGAGGGAGGTGAGAATGAAAGAGAGAGTCGGAAAAAAAAGTGAGAAAGAGACAGAGTAAGCCGGGAAGAGTGAGAGGGAGGGAGGGCTGGGAACAGGAAGAGAGGGAGAAATGATTCAGAGAATCAAAGAGCTATGAGACTCTCTCTCATAGCGGATGCAGGGGGTAATGATAGTTAGAAAGACATGATGCAGAAAGTCGAGAAAGTGAGAGACAGAGAACTTTCCCGCCTCTCCACGCCTCCTCTCTACCTTTTCCAGCGTTTCATCTGAGATGCAGAGTGCCTAAAATTAGCAAGCTGGCAGCTTCCTTCCTTCCTTCCTTCCTTCCAGGGCCCCCATTGAAGTTCTCCCATTGCGTTGAGTGATCATTAAGGTGGGACTGGGAACGCAGGTGTTTTCATAGTGTCCCAGTCGAGGTTGCAGTGGCATCACTTTTCCTCGGCAGGGCCAACGTGAACAAAAAATCTTTGCAGTCCTCATCTGGGGAGCGTTTTTGTGTGTGAACAGGTTTTGTACGTGTGAGTATATGTGTATCAGAGCGTTGCAGCGCAGACTGCATGTCTGTCAGTAGGGATGGAGGAGCAGATTAATAAATGAAGGGCGATGGGAGAGGACAGGAGGACGGAGCTACATGAAAATGAGCAGGGCCTGTTGTTTGCGTCTGCAGGCGGTGCAGGTTCAGACATCTTTGTGGTTATCTGATTAAATCAAGGCTGTATACTACATATCAAACCAAGATACAGATCTGCTGTGCTGTGTTCAACTTATTGTGCTGTGGTCACAAAACCTGATGCAGCTGTGTCTTTAGTCTTATGTCTCATGTCCTACTTTTTGTTTCTGTTTCTTACATCCCAAGGATCTCACATCTGTGTCATTAGGTCGCAGTAAGTTCACAAGAACTTGAACATCTGAGAGCAAAGGTTTATTCTTGTTCTGAAAGGCCAGCTATCACAGAGCAGGTCGAGATGCACAAAACATAAATGGGCATAACCGTGCAGATTGTCTGACAGTCTTTCCTCAGAGGCATTCACAGTGTTGCATCCAGTCATTCACACAAGAAGTGACACAGTGACACCCCTTTCACACATGCACCTGACATCAAAACAGTTCAGTTATTGCTTACAATAAAGATTACTTTGTTTCCCTGGCACACAGAGGGCGATACGTAACACCAAAAACAGATTAAACAGCGACAGCAACAATCAGTACCAGACCCGACAGTCACTCACATTACGCTGGGTTTTCCATTCTTGAATTAAGAACCCAGTGAAGGAAAAGTCTCTTTCAAAAACATTCTGCGCAATCACTGCCAGGCTCCTTCCACAACCATAAAACCTCAAAAGGATCCCCCTTTAGTGTCTTAATCGATGTCGGCG